CTTCACACAATAAAGGAGTAATAAATATGACAATAGCAAACATTTACTGAATATTTACAATATGCCAGGCACTGTTTTAAACCTTTTACAAGTTTTTCCATGAATTGGAATCTTACACAATATTTATATCTACTTGTCAAAATGCTGAAACCTAGCTCATCAACCTATATAAGATGTATCACAATGTTTCTTCATCAGAAAAAGGAAGACAGCAAGTTTACTCCTGATAACATGTTGACTAGCTAACATGTATATACAGACTCCCCAGAAAGTACTAGTGACTATAAGTTACAGTTACATTTTAATTAACCTTATATACTATCAGGCAAGACTGCTTTAGTTGTTCAAATCAAATGTACATTAAACAATGTCCCACACAGTACTATGAGAATTTGGAAGAGTCACCAACTTCAACTATTTTTATAGAACTCCAGGTAGGCAGTAAACAAAAAAGTTGCAACTTACTGAGCCCCTTCTATATCAGGTAATTTACATAAAATGTATAATTTATCTTCACAACAACCTTACAGATATTATAAGTCATTTTACAGAGAAGAAAACAAGCTCAGAGAAGCTAAGTAAGACATTTTTATTGGTCCCAAATCACAAAACTAATAGGTGGCTATCAGGATAGTAAATTCCAAATTTTCTACTGAGTCAGAAAGCAGATTTCTGAAGTACTAACAATAGGAAATAGATATTAATTGAAACTGTAACTCTTAAGTAGAAACATAATTGTGTTCCCAAGTTATAAAGTGCATTTTTAGTCAAAGAAAACATTTATGTATAGGACAGTTTTTGAAAGCAAGGATAGCCATTACATAGGAGATATATATATTGATTTCAGAGAGGACGGGAGAGAGAGACAGAAATATCAATGATGAAGAGAGAATCACTGATCGGCTGACTCCTATATGCCCCCACTGGGGACTGAGCCTGCAATCTAGGCATGTAGCCTGACTGGAAATCGAACCCTGACCTCCTGGTTCATTGGTCCATGCTCAACCACTGAGTATACCGGCTGGGCCATTACACAATTTTTAAAAGAACAAAGAGGCTATATCCATTCCCCAAACCCCTTTTCTGTTTTATTTTTCTCCACAATACTTTTTTCTCCCAGACACACTACATTTTACTTATGTATGCCTTCCACTACTAAAATGTAAACTATATGAGGACAGAAATTTTGTCAATTAATATCCATTGCTGCATTTCCAGCATCTCAAAGGTCCTTGGCACATAGTAAGTGCTCAATAAATATTTGTGAAATAAATGAAAGCTGGCTACCCAATAGGCATTCAGTAGGCATTAGTTTCCTCTTTCTTTTATTATGTAGGAAACACTAAAAAGGTTAACATTAAGATATTAAAGGTTAAAAGAAATTTACCACTCCCTTAATACCAAAATTTGAACTGGAATAGATAATTAGGAATATAATAAAACTTCTTATTGAAGTTTTACATTAAGAATAATAAGCAAGTTAGAAATACACATTCAGCAAAGCCTCATTTATCAAGCATTGTCAGGAAATAAGAGGGTCTACATAAATAATTTCAAACGAATGCATTTTAAGTGCCAAAACTTTAATCAATTTTCATAGGGAATATATATCCACGATTTCATTTTGTGGCAATTCTGACGTGGATATCTTTCTGAAACATCAACTTGTTAGCAGTGCTTTTAACAGTAGCTCACTCGTTTTCTGAGGATTAAAAAACTAGAAACTAAGCATATTCTGAAATGAGTCAAAAATCCAAATGAAAAGTCTCAGCGAAAAGCATAACTTTAATGTAGCTGGCTAGAAGTAGTAAGTACTTACTACTAAAAGTATTATTTTAAGGAATGGAATACTTAGAAGACAAAGACAGCCATTCTTAATCTGACTATCAAGATAATCAAGTGTAGTGGCTAACTAAAAAGAATGTAAAAAGTATATTCAATACATACTAGCCTAAGAGTAAACTTACTCAGGCTCTTCAGCTTTCTGATAAAGCAAGTATCCTTGGTTTTTTAGGATCAGAATCATTCATGAAATATTAAAATACAGTAAGTATTTTGGAAATATGAGCCAGAGGTAAATAAGTATGAATATACATATATTCAAATTTCACACAATATATTGCCCCCAAATCCCTACCATCTTAATACAGAGGGTTTAAAATAAGATGACATATATATATTGTCAGAGTCTATCAAAAGATTAGAGCAAATCTCCTTAGTACAGTTCAGTACAGTATGATTACTTTCCTATGCTTGGCAGCCACCACTACCTACATCTCCAAATTCCTAGCTGCCTAAAACTGTTTATCTAATCCTCTACCATAACCCCTATCTTCTCCTTCTTACTATTTTGCCCCAATTATCACATTTGCCTCTCTTATTACCTCATTATCCTTCTATTTTAGAGAGTCCCAATTTATTTAGAGGATCAAGTAAAGATAATGTAAATGAAATAAGGAAAAAACGCTACTACTCTACTTCTCTGGGTCATGGGGGCCTAGACAGTAGAGATATAATGGAATTGAAGCCATTCTGAATTATACTTTTATTTATGGACTTTACATATTATAAAGATTATCAAGGACTTTTTTCCAAAATATTTTAACAAGGCAAAAATTTCCCTTTCAACTTTAAAAAATAAACTTTTAGTCTTGATCAGTTTATATAACTAAAAAACTGCTGTTTTAGAAAATTCAGACATTCCCACAGATTTTTTTTTGGCATGAAACTCATAGTCTACATTACACCTATTTTTCAAAATGTAGTATGTTCATAGACATGTACATACATTTCATCCTAAACAGTATTTTAAGAATTTTCCTTACAGGAAAAACTACAGAAGTAAATAAACTTTTACTTCTATCAAGACACACAAGACCAATCATGTTAAGACATTTACTCAAATATAATGTGTTGCTAACACTAAAGAAGCAATTCTCAATAATGACATAACTGGGGATATGGGTAGTACCTACTTTAACTCTGCAGAGTTTAAAAACCCCTCCTCTCATTAGGTGTAATAACTGGTATGCAAGTTTTAAACAATATCCTTAGCCGAAGGCAAGCTCTCCTTTCCACTAAAAAGAGGGCCAAATATAAGTACTATTTCCATCAAATGAGATTGAGCCAGGTTAAAATTATTTTTCAGGAAATCTGTAATATATGAGAGTCTGACCGTTTCCCACTTCTTAATGAGTTACAAAAGCACAGGTTCTACAAGTGACAATTCACTAAAGAGGGTTGTGTCTGTCCTTTAATAACACTTTTAAACGTAGGAAAAATTATTCCATGCACCCACGAGAAAACTGAAATAATGGAGGTATACTCACTGGATGACTTACTTATCTAATTAACACATTACACTTTCAGTTGATCCTTTCAAGATTTAAATCTTAAGCACCTTCTATTAAAAACTGAGTAGATTTTAAGAGGGGAAAAACCCCAACAGAAGTTCTGAATCACTGGAATTTTTGTTCTATTTCCTGTTAACACACTGATAGTAACATCATTCAATATATTTGTCCCATACACATTTTTTAAAAACTCTAGGATCCTTTTAAAACTAACTTGGCCCTCATTTAATTTGTAGCTCATTTATCTAACAATTCCATTGTTTCTCATTTATGTGCTCAGGCAAGGCATACAATAAGATGAAAAGCATGCCTTCCTTTATTAGAGAATGCAAAATCTAAAGTCTCAAGCTGTCAACACTTAAAATCAATCACGACTTCATTGTTATAAAAAAGTTTAAAGGTATTTTTTTAAAAAAAGATGTCAATACCCTGCTACTGTCTGAAGAGCAGTAGTAGTATAAAAACTGAAAGCAAAAATTCTATTCCATGCCCACCGAAATTCCCGGCCAAATCTGAAAATTGCATAATGAGCAACATACTCTTTTGAGTGAACTAAAGCACCAATTAACTCCTATAAAATATGAATCAACCTGACCCTGAATTTCGACACTTGACAAACTTACCTAAAACAGACAAAATGGATGCAAAATTCTACTGCCTCACTGCTGCCTCGAATACCACCTTAGTGTTCAAGAACTTTCCCATGAATAAGGGCAATGAAAACGGCCTGACACTGCCCTGGGGACCTGCACTGTGTGAATCCGAGACCCCTGAGAGGCTGCACGCCCCCCCCCCCCCAAACCCCTCTTATCAGAAACATTTGAAGAATTTCTCCACCACAATTAAGCTGACTTGAAGAATGGAAACCTAACGTCTCAAATATACTATATATGGAATGAAACGTGGCCAAACACACACATACACGCTCACACGGGCTGACCCTCGGGGATCCAGCTCTGCCCGAGCCACACCGAAGCATCAGCAGCCGAAGGATACACCTGTCACCTGCCCGGCCGCAAGCCAATGTCAGGGTTTGCCGCCGACCCACCAGAACGCTAGGGCTGCCCTGTGCAATCGAGGGGGCCCCCCGCAGGACCACAGTGGGGCGTGCTCCCCACTTCCAGGCTGCAGACAACCACCACTGCAAAGGGGACGACCTTCTCCCCCAGACTCCCCCCCCACCAGCCCTCTTGGTCTCTCCCCCCAACACCTCGCCTGTAGGTCATCTGTACCCGGATGGCTCCCCCAACTCACACTGGCCGGAGGGGTGGCCGGGGGTACCGGGGCGGCAGGGGCCCACCCCACCCCCGGCACCCTCCCCCACCCGGGCTCTCCCCGGCGACGACTCCGATGGATCCCCCCTCCCCCTCCACACAGACAGCCGAGGGAGAGCCCAGGCCCGGCCGATGCTCCCCACCCCCACCCGGTCTAGGGGCTTGGGGGGGGGGGCGCTCCCTCTCTGCCTCACCCCCGGGGGAAGGAAGGAGGCGGAGGGAGGAAGAGGGAGAGGAAGGAGCGGGCGCCCGCAGGGGCCTGGCGAAGTCCGCGGCGCCCCGACCCGACCGAGGGCTTTGCAGGGAGCGGAGGGGAGGACCGGGAGCACCGGAGCGGGGACCCCGCCGAGGCCCGGCAGCGCTGTCCGCTTACCCTTCGCCGCCGCTTCCCCCTCCTCCTCCTCGGCCGCCGCCGCCGCCTCTCCCGCTAGGGCAGCCGTCTCCACCGCCGCCGCCGCCGCCTCCACCACCACGGCCGCCGCCAGCGCCGCCGCCGCCTCCGATTCCGCCCGGCAGGGGGGACGCCTCAGCCCGCCCTCCCTCCCCGCTCAGCCGCTCCGATCGGCCGCCGCCGCCAACTCTCTCCGGCCGCCGCCGCCGCCGCCGCTCGTGGCTGAGGGGGAGGGGAGGGGGTCGGGCTGGGTCGCCCCGCCGGCGGCTGCTGCGGGTCAGGAACGGGGGCCGGGTGGCGTCGCCGCTCCCGGTGCCTCGGCTCGGGCTCGCTCGGCCTCCCTACCTCCCGCGGCCCCCACCCCCCGCGCGCTCGCTGCCCTCCCCCCACCCCCCCAGCTCTCGCTCGCTCTCGCCGCGGCTCGGCCAGCCCAGTGCAAATCAAAATACTGTCCCACAATATGGCGGCGCGGCCGCCGGCAAACACCGCGAGATCTGCGGCCGCTGCTGAGGCGGCGGCTGTGACGAGGCCTCCCCCCGGCCGGGCGGCGGGGGCGCGGGGGCGCGGCGGGCGGCGGCGGCGCGGGGATGCTCTCTCCCCGCCCCGCACCCCTCCCCCGGCCTCGCAGGCTCCACGCCCGTCTCGCGGCGGCCGCAGGGAGGACGCGGGCCGCGGGGGCCGTGCGCGAGGAGGGCCGGGACCCCGGCGCGCTCTTTTGCTTTTTTACTTTCTGGCCCCGGCCGCGCAGACTGGGAGGAGGGCGGCGTGTGGGGAGCAGAGGCAGGGTCTCCCCGGCAGCGGGCGGGAGGGGAGAGGACCCGGAGCGCCCGTCCGCGCGGGCCGTGCGGAAGCGGCCGGCGGGGCGGCGGAGCCTCGCGCGCTGGGCGGGCGGGCGGTGCGCCCCGAGGCCGGGGCTGCGGGCGGCGGCAGGTGGGCCCGCGGCGGGACACACCCCCTCGGAGCCCCGCGGCCGGCAGCGCTGGGAGGGACGGGCCCGGAGCCGCCCGGACGCCCGGACTCCCAGCTGCTCTGGGGTTCGCGTGCGCCCGGGAGGAAACACACAGAATCGAAATGCTGCGAGCGTGTGCGGTTTCCATTTTCTTCTCGTTGCACGTTCCTAGAAGTCCTGGAGGCAGAGCCAACGACACTTTAACTTGGGGGGAGCCGGGCAGGCCTCGTTCTATCTTCTTAAAGAAATACTTCGTTTCCTCCGGGCCAGACACCCACTCGGGCGTGTCTCCCCGGGTAAAACGTGGATGCAAACGTTCTAGCGCTTTCACGGCGTCCGAAACGCGCCGGCCTTCTGCTGCCCCGTCCGCGCTGCCTGGATCGGCCGTGTCCGCCTGGGAACAGTCCTCACTCCCCAGGGAAACCCTGCGGGGCCGTCTTCCTTCTTCTGCCCCCGTGTGAGCGCTGTTCCTGCTGCCAGAGCCTCCCCCCCGCTCATCTTCAGTGCACGTTTCCCTAAGGGGATTTTCCCAGCTCTTTTCACTCACGTAAAAATACCCAAAATCTTGGGATATAGGACCAATTCAAACCCTCTACCACTTCGAAAGTCAAAAGTGTTCATTAGTACTTATAAATCAGAATTGAAGTATTTTCTCTACAGAGTCGATTTTATTAAGAGATGTAAAAGCAAGTTATGATTTAAAAAATGGAAAGGCTATAGTTTTTCATGTATTCACTGGGAGCAGTAAGAAATCACTAAACTTTAATACTTTACAGTAGTCCTTTGAGGAATTATGTTCATACTCAATATTAAAATAATCGATGAAGTGAATTAGAGAAACGGAATCCCTTATTGAGTAAATTTCACTTGTCTTTGAAACCATTATAAGCACAGTTGCTTTTGAAATGGTAGAGTTATGTATTTTATTCAAAGAATGTATTTAGTGAAATGTATACGTACATATTTTAGTAGAAATAAAATTCTTTATAAACTTAAGGATGTTATAGGTGTGAATAGGTCAAGTCTAAGAACCAGTGGGTGGCAGAGAAAGTATGTATAACAATACATCCTTGCACCTACACTAAGAGCTTTAACCTGGATTTCCTCATGAGGAAGCATCAGACAAACTCAAATAAAGGAAAATTCTATAAAATAACTGGCCTGTTTTCCTAAAGAACTGTGAATGTCCTAAAAGACAAAACTGCAGATTAAAGGAAACTAAATGCAATATTTAACCCTGAACTGGATCCTTTACTAGAAGAAAAAAATGCTATGAAGGACATTATTAGGATAACTAATGCACTATATGGACTATAGATAAAAATACCGTATCAGTGTTAAATTTCCTGAATATGTTATGCACAGGAATATCTTTATTCATAAGAAAACACTGAAATACTAAGAGGTAAATAGGATTATGCATGCAATTTTCCCCCAAATGGTTCAGAAAAATCTTACACACACACACACACACACACACACACACACACACACACACACACACAATCTCACATCTTCCAGACACATATACAGGAAGAGATTAACAAAATCTAAAAATTGGCAAATCTAGGTTATTATTGTTTTTTCTGAAGAACCAATTTTATTTCCATTGAAGTTGGAATATGATGAAAAAGGGGATAATCGTATAAAATTTAAAATCAGCCATAAGGAAGAACTTCCAGAAAATGGGGTTTCCAAAATACAAGAACAGATTGATTCCTAGGAGAATAATTCACAGGACAAAAGAGAAGATATTTGCTTTTTTGGGGGTCTATAATAAAATCATAGCTTTCCCCCCAAAAATGGCTTAACGGTTCTCATGCTTGAAGATGGTGGTATGTTTTTGTTTTGTTTTTTATTGTGGTGAAAAAAAAGTAACAGTAAATTTACCATCTTAACCATTTTTAAACGTTAAGTAGTGTTAAGTATATTTAAATTGTTGTGCAGCAGATCTCGAGCTTCTTCAGCTTGCCACACAGAAACTCTACACCCACTAAACACTAATTCTCTCTCCCCAGTCCTTGGCAACCACATGGTATTTTTAAATTCCAAGAAATGTTTCAGTATTTTAAAAACTTGGTGAATATGGAAATTTCTGTACCATTCTTACACCTTTTCACTAAGTTTGAAATCATTGCAAAATTAAAAGTTTTTTAAAACGAAGAGCTTTGAAGTGCGGAGTTTTCCTACTTGACTAAAGAGGAGGAGTGTTGTGAGATAGACAGGTAGAGAGAGAGAGGTCCTTTTACAGTGGAACTGGCCATCTGTTTCTCAGTAACAGATGGAAGTTTTGGTCATTCAGCTTTCCTTTCTTCCCTATTTAATCTGCTTAAATTTGGAACGAAAGTAGTGAGGAACTATTCTATATTTGGTAAATGTGATTTCCATATTTAATGAACCAATGAATATTCAGTGCCTATTATCTACAAGCTTGTAGAGAAAATAAGGGGAAAAGCAATTCCTGCTTTTAGGCGATCTCTGTAGTGATATCAGAAATAAAGTATAATCTCTGTACTACATTCAGGAATCTTTTATTTTTTAAATATATTTTATTGATTTTTACAGAGAGGAAGGGAGAGTGATAGTTAGAAACATCTGATCAGCTGCCTCCTGCACACTCCCTACTGGGTATGTGCCCGCAACCAAGGAACATACATGCCCTTGACTGGAATCGAACCTGGGACCCTTCAGCTCGCAGACCGACACTCTATCCACTGAGCCAAACCGGTTAGGGTCAGGAGTCTTTTAGTCTAGTACTGTGGCCACCAGCTTCCTGTAGCTATTTACATTTAAAGTAACTAAACAAAAAGAAAAATTCAGGCCCTCAGTTACACTAACCACATTTCAACTGCTCATTAACCATCTTCACAGAAAGTTCTACTGAACAGCACAGGTAGTAGAAGAGATTACACTATATACTCATAAAAAACATTAGTACAAGGTATATGATAATAAACACTATAGAAGTTTAGGGGGAGGAGAGATTACTTTGTAGGGTGTGGAAGTAGGGGAAACGTCATCGGGGATAGTTTCAAGAAGTCGAATATGGACAGGAGGAAGTGGAACAAGAGAATTTCAGGTAGAGAAAACTTGAACTAGGCAGAAAAGGAAGAGACATATTTGAAAGACACAACTTAATTCTGTGTATCTGTAACATGAAAGGAGGATAGGGCTGTCTGAAACCATAAATGCTAAGATGCTTAGAGTGGAGTATTCTCTAGGTAATAGGAAGTTACTAATGGTCTTTGAACAAGAGAAAAGACATGACCTAATCGTTCTTTTTAAAAATATTTTTTATTGATTTTTTTTACAGGGAGGAAGGGAGAAGGATAGAGAGTTAGAAATATCGATGAGAGAGAAACATCAATCAGCTGCCTCCTGCACACTCCCTACTGGGGATGTGCCCGCAACCAAGGTACATGCCCTTGACCAGAATCGAACCTGGGACCCTTGAGTCCGCAGGCTGACGCTCTATCCACTGAGCCAAACCGGTTAGGACCTAATAGTTCTTTAAGAAAGGGAATCTGGTAGCCTGTGTATGAAATGGATTTGGTTTAAAGATATAAAGACCATGTAGCATTGCAAGAGCACAAATGAGAGATAATGAGTCTACCACTAAGGATGTTTGCAACAGCATTTAACAAATCCCAATTAAAAATGGCTTAAGCAGTAAGGAAATTCTATATCTCACAAATTTGGGGATTACAAGGAGAGTAGTCTTCAGGTTTGAAAGATTAAGAACAGAATTTTGATACTATCATCGAAGTACAGGTTATTTCCATATCTGCTCTGATGTCTTGGGTGTTGGCATCATTTTCTGACTAATAACAAGATGGTAATGACAGTTCCAGGTATCATATCCTGAAGTCATAATATGCAGAGAAGAAGAGAGATCTTCTTAAGAAAGGGAAAATGTTTCCCAGAACCACTTCCCTTACCCTCTGGCTGACTTCCCTTCCAGCTCCTACGCCGTGGTTGAATCACATGCCCATTCATGAAGCAGTCCCAGGTTTATATGCTGGAACAAGTGTTGGGGAGTCAAAGACAGAGAGGTGAGCATTTAAGACGACTCTAGGATTTAAGCCTAAATGACT